TGGATGTCACTGAGCAGGTTTGACCCCTTCTCTGGCTCTCCATGGAAACAATGACTATCCTTATCAGTAGGCTGTGAGCCCCACCTACAGTGGACCAGATGGCTGAATGCCTTCAGAGAGAATATCTCTAAACATCTGACCTTTCACCACGTCTGGCAAACAGCCGCTAATGTTTGGCATATCTTTGGGGGTGACAAAGCTGGGGGAAAGTCTTTTATATCCCACAGCAGTCCTCTGAAAGGTTCAAACAAGACCGACCTGCCAACCCAGAGCCGGAGCAGGGACTAAAGAAACCTAGGCTTGGAGCTGCCAGTGAGCCCAGTGTGAAGAGCCAGGGAGGGAATCGAGGCACAGGCGTGTGCTGGGGTCTCGGGCAGGCAAGCTCTCGCTCGGCTGGGGACTGGCTCCTCCCGCCTGGCAGCTGCTATGACTCTGAGGATATGGTGGGCAGTAGGGGCTGGGATGGAGAAGGAAGGGGAGGGACTAGCCTGTGATGCGGGTGCACGTGTGCTTGCCTACAGAGATGCGTGGACCGTTCTCAGGTCTGTGAGGAAGCTGCCTCTCCACGGGGCTGTGGCCATGCAGAGGGGCCTGCTCAGCCGGCCTGGCCCTCCCGGGTGCCCGGGTCTTGTCTCTCTCCACCCTCCATGCTTCCATGGACTTTGGAGTTGAGGAGGAGCAGGGCCCCGATGCTCTCTCTCCATCTAGGTGCTGACGGAGCCCGTGACCAGGTGGAGAAATGTCCGGGGCCACAACCCTCTGGTGAGTGGCTGCGCCGGCCCGAGCCCCCGAGGGTCCCCCCCACAGCCCCCCAGCAGCTGGGAAAGGTGACCCCATGCCTGTGTCTGAGCCTGTTCCGCATCCCATCCAGGCCACATTCCTCCCTCTGAGCTGGGGCGGATGGAGAAGGGTGGGCTGGTGGTCCTCTGAGAGAGAGAGTGTGGGAAAGGCTGTAGGTCCCCATGGTCTCCTGTTCCAGGTGAGGAAACTTCAGGCCGAGTGAGTGGCCTGAGGCCACACATCTGGCACATGAAAGATCTTGATTTGAGCCTTGGACTCTGAGCCCCCCCCCCACACACACACACACACACATTTCTAGCAGCACAGGGTCGGCTTGCTATCACCTCAGATATCACTCAGCGATCCTGTAGGACAGGGTAGATCTGCCCCTGTGGGTTTCAAGACGATAACACTTTATGGGAGTAGAAAGCCTCATCTTTCTCCCATGGCTCAGTCGGCTGGTGGATTTGAACTATGAGCGCAGGGCCCTGGGGGAGGCGTGGGCTTGGTGTGCTGGGGTGCCCTCAGGAGGCTTGTCCTGGGTGGTTGGAGGCTGACTGGATGGTCGGAGGCAAGACTTCTTGAGACCAAGGCTGCTTAAACTGGGGCGGCCATCCGATGGGTCACGTCCCTGAATGTGGAGGTGGCAAAACATCGGGCAACAGGAAAAGGTTTCTGAATGCGCAAGCACCAAAAAATTAGTTCAACATCTGTGTTGCAAATTTCTGCGGCAGAAAGAATCCGGAGTGGAAACTGTTTTATGGAGCCTGACTCCAGATCACAGGTTCCCAAATGTATGTGGCCTACCACCCAATTTTCAGGGGGTAAAAATGATGCAGCCACTCCTGGCAATTAAAATATTTTTTACTCTAGCCCATCATCCAGGATAAGGTGTAGGTGTTGGGTTTTGTAGCCCTCTGGAGTTTTCCCGTGCCCTCCAGGGACAGGGATGGCCCACTTTGGGAAACACTGCTCTAGATCTTGTGGGCCATGGTGAAGGCTTTTGATGTCATTCCAAATTGTCATGGATTGAGTTGTATACAATGCCCCCTCCACCGCCCCCCCCTGCCATCGTGCCCCCCACTTTCAAGTATGTGTCAACTTGGCTGGGCTAAGTTATGTAATGATGTCATCATCTTCCCTGATGTAATGTGGGGTGATCAGCCAATCAATTATAAGGGACTAAGAGTGAGGGCCAACACCCGCACTCAGACCACACCCCTGATGTGATGTGAGGGGTGGGGCCTGTAGAGCATTTGACTTTACAAGAGATGGAGAGAGAGAGAGCGAGCCAGCCCTCTGTATGAACCGGGAGCAGCCCCCATCCTTTGGAACAGCATCCCGGTGCTGGAAAACTCCCAGCCCCAGAGGAAGAGCAAACACCACGGCATAGGAAGATTTCAAAGAGGTGTCACGCCCACAGATGATGAACGGAGACAAGGATGTTTGTCCAGCGCTAACAGAGAGAGCGAGCCTTCGATAGCTGGTGCCCAAGACCTGAACTAGCCTCTGTGGTAAAGCCATTCACTGGTGGCATCGCGGCATAGCTGCCCTAGAGAGGGAGCCATAGTGTCCCAGATGTTTCTGGGTAGGAAGACCTTTGGGTTCACCAAGCTCACTCGGACTGTGAGCTCAGAGTGAGACCTTTAATTAATCGATTTCTTGAGGGAGGTAAAATGTGTAGGGCACAGGAAATGAAGTGAAGGGAGTTCAGGATCATCAGATAAAGGAAGGTTAGAGCTGGTCCACAGCCAGAGAATTAGCTAACCTAAAAGCTGTGGAGACCACGAGAGTCGCTATTACATAAAGGACGAGAACATTAGATTAATACAGACCCATTCACAAACTACAACAGAGCTTGGTGAGGAAAGAGTTTAAGGGCTCTAGTACCACAGAACCGGTGTCGAAGTGTCTGAGAGAGAGACAGGCAGGCCGGCCGGCTGGGTGACCTCCCTCTTCTGACAGCGGACTCGAGAGAGCGAACTAAGGATCTTTTTCGGGTAGCGGAGTCTTTGGGATGTCTATCAGTCTTCTAGACAGGCGAATTCCGGCGCATCTCTCTGGTTGGTGCGGATAACTCCCGTGGGCTGGGCACCAGCCTCGGTGAGCTGACAGCACTTACTCAGGCGGGAAGCTTTATAAACGGAAGGAACGTCTGGTGCTGCCCTTCGTACCACTGCCCCTGGACCCTCGAATGACCATTTACTGGAGGATGAAACCCACATTCCCAGGGCCTTTACTTGGGCTCCGGTTACAACTCAGTCGGAGCCCTGGCGGCAGCATGGGCTAGACATCGGACTGCTAACTGCCAGGTTGGCACTTCAAACCCACCAGCGGCTCCTTGGAAGCAAGATGAGGTTGCTGCTCTTCTAAAGATTTGCAGTCTTTCAAGCCACGCCTCGGTTCCCAAGGAGTCCCAGTCGACTCAGGGACAGTGGGTGTGGTTACTTTTGGTTTCTGCTGTCGCCCGGCTCTTCTGTGGTTGCTCCGTGTCTGTCCTGCTGTGAGGGCCCCTCGGCCATGGTCTGTTCCCCTCTGACCCCAGGCGGGTTGCACAAAAGGGCTGTCAGCGACCAAAGAGCCCAGGGTCCTGCCGCTGCCACTTTGAGGTCAACGCTGTGTCCTCCCCAGGGTCTGATGTACACCGACCCCAGCCGCTGGGGCCTTACACTGCAGACGTTCGTGCAGCTCACCATGCTGGACCACCACACCCGGCCCCAGGTACGGACGGTCTGCGGGCTCCTTACCAACCACCTGTTAAAAGGCTTTCTTGGTGCTGGGCGTGAGTTTGCGGGGGAAGGGAAGCTCACGTCCACCTCGCTGCCCGCGGCAGGAACGCCCATTTGGAAGCTTCCAGACTGCAGTGAGCCGTTTTTCTGTTTCCCTCTAGACATCACCAGTGCGATTGATGGAGAGGTCGATTCACAGCGCAAGATACGTTTTTGTAGAAAACCTGTATAGAAGGTACCCAAGTTTGCACACTGAATATTTATTCTACCGTTAATCTTTAGCAGTGAAATAGGAGTTTGTATTCAGCCAGCGAGTATGAGTGCCCACTATCCCCATGTCGTGCCATGGTGTCTTTATTGCCACAGTGATGCCCTGACAGATGTCCGGCGGGTAGCTCGGAGTACCCTCTCCCTCACCGTGGACCCCAGAGACCCGAAGGTCCGGAGGCAGAGGACAAAGGGAGGGGGCTTTGAGAAGCCCTCACTTCACGGACCAGTGAATGGCGGTGGTCCTTGGGCACTGGAGCCCACATGGCTGGGCTGAGGGCAGGCAGGGATCCCTGGGGCAGGAACGGAAGGAGGGGGTGGGCAGAAGCTGCATCACCAGCCAGCTCTCCCCCCCATGGTCAGGGATAGGGTCAGGAAGCTATCCCACAATGAAAGGCTTCCTACTTGGCCGAGGGGGACCGGGGCTGCCTGAGAAGGTGGCGAGAGACCTCTGCATTTCCCTCATTAAGGCCAGAGGCTGCAGGGATGCTTGGAGCCCACAAAGGCTGTGAATCCTGAGGTGCTAGCCCAAGGGGGAGATGGCGGACCACCCCCCCATCTTACATGAAGAACTTGGAACAGGCTGCACCTGCTGTAGCAAACTCTGGGGTCCCCCGTGCGCCTTATTTACATGCCACGGGCCTGCCTTCGCGTGAAAACACAGATGCTGTGGAAGTAGACGGAGAGCCTGACTGAGAGTCCAGAGATGGGCCAGGAAGACGTCCACATTCCCAGAGTGAAGATGGCTGTTGTGCGACAGCGCAGTAGCCGGGATTCTTGTACAGTTAAAGGAGAGCTAGAGCCACAAAGCCACGGCTGGCTGAAAGACAGTGTGTGTGTGTCTGAAAGACAGACACAGAGAGAGAGGGAGTGAGTCAGGGTCAGTCGACGGTGAGGTCTGAGCGAACGGATGTGTGGGATGACATGATGGACTAAAGGCACGGAACTGCAGGTGTACCCATACTTGTGATTACACAATGGTTGAAAGACAGATTTTACCCCAGGGAACCTGCTATTTAAGATTGCTTTCTCAGGCCTGCCTGCTCCCGGGGGCCGTTGTCCTGGCCCTTCAGGCCCAGGCTGCCCCGTCCTGCATTGTTTGACCCGAGAGAAGAGAAAAGACCCCCTGGGAAGCGCGCGTGCCCTCCTGCCTCTGTCCGTCTGTGGTGAGGTGGGTACAGAGATGACAGGGCCGCTAGTAGAGGCAGCTTTACAGTGCAGCATGGACTCCAGACTCACGCCCAGACTTCCGTCCAGAGTTCAGGCTCTCCTTTCCGGCTGCTCCACGGACACACACCAGGGGCCTCGGGATCCAGACTCGCCCAGGTGCGAGGGTTAAGGGCTTGGCTGTTCACCGGCCCTTAGCTGCTCAGAGGGACAAGGAGCTGATGGTCGGCTCTGTAGATGTCACAGCCTTCTACTGTATCCCGCAGGCCTGTGTCTCGAAAAGCAAGCCCAGTGACACATCTATGTGGAGCGACATTTGTACCAAGAACAATGGCTCACGTGGCCGTAAAAGCCCGTGTGGGTCAGATGGCAGGCCGGAGGCGCTTCCTGGGGAGCTGGAAGGTCAGAGGCCAGTGGAGGCAGGAGTCGAACAGACGAGCCAGATGTCTTGGCCAACCTCGGGGAGCTCCCAGGACTGGCAGGCGGCCCACATCCCAGGAGAACCAGCTGCAGGAGCCACACCAGCAGGAGGAAGAGAGTCCTGCGCAGTGCTCTTTCTAGATCTCAAACAGGCCACTCCCCAAGGGGACGTCATGGTCGGTGACGTCAGCCAGTGAGAGAGAGAGAGAGAGAGAGAGGTTGCCAAGTTGACACAAAGCCTAACGGAGGCGTCTGCGGTGAAGCCCGAGAGGCCTGTGCTTGTAGCAGCAAGGCTGGCATGCTTCTGCCCAGGGACCACCCTGTCCAGTGAGGCCTCAGAAGAAGCTGGCAGCTAGGGGGCCCTCAGGGGGCCTTCTGTGCCCACACTCAGAGCTTTCCCACTGGGGTTTTGTCCCTGGGGCTTCCTGGGAGCCACCCCTGGGTCCTGAGCACAAGGGCCTGCCTGTGGGCCAGGCAGTGGCTGTCCGCACACCCTGTGTGTGCCGAAGCCCCGGTGTTCCCTTTGCGCCAGCTCACCGTACCCCCAGTTCACGTTTGTTGCTTCTGGCATCCTGGTTTGCCCCCCCTGGGCCAGGGGCAGGTTCCTTTGAAAGAGGCCCGAGGCTTTCCTTTGAAGCCCAGCAAGAAGAGTTTTTGTGGGCAGAGCTGAAGTGGGGATGAGTTAGAGGGCAGGCTTCCTTCTCGGCCAGCGCCCTCACCTGTCCACGCAGCGGGTCACCGCCATCACGTGTTGCTGAGGAAGCCCATGTGCTACATAGATCTGTGTGCCCCGCCCCCAGGTTCCCATCATCACCGGTCCACATCTAAACCAAATGTGGGTGTGGCCGGTCCTCTGCTGACCCCAGAGTCGGGGCCGGGGTCCCACCCTCGGGATTCCTCCTGGTCTGGGAGCCACAAGGCGGCTCACGTGGGGTGTCGTTGCGGCCCCAGCCAGCTGCCCCTCTGTAGGCTCAGGGAAACACTGCCTAACAGGCCCAGGGAGGGCAGCTCTCAGCAAGGCAGGGACGGGTCATCTTGCCTCTTCTGCCTCGGAAGCCCGGCAGCAGTCTGGCCTGGGCATCGTGGTGGCAGGAACAGCATGGCCCCTGCTGTCTGCAGCTGCCAGCTCAGGCCCCTGGGAAAGCCCATGGGGTGGAATTCGGTCCCCAGCGCCTTCTTGCCCTGGAGCATGGGGCCAGGGGAAAATCGGGTTTTCCTCAGTGTAGAGGCTGTGTTAGATTCCTCGGGTGAGAAACACCTCGGTCCTTGGCTTCACCGGAAAAAGAATTCACACTCAAGCCTAGTTTGTGATCCAAGGGGGTTTTTATAAAGGACAGAAGAAGTTTCAGGTGTTACCCTAGCTGAACACAAGGACCCTCAAGGCACGCACACCCATGGGGTGGCCCGAGGCCAGAGAGGAGAGGAGGGGAGGGGAGGGACCTCGGCCCAGCTGCCCATGACCGCAGTGGAGGGAGGAGCAGCCTGGAAAGAAGGGTGGTCTCCTGGCTCAGGCTTTTTTAGGGCCTCCCGCTGGGAGGCGTGGCCAACCGTGCTGGTTGACCCCATTGACTGAATTAAACCCACCTGGCCTAGACTGGGGCCCACCCAGGTGTACCACCTACCTAGGTGTACCCCCCTCCTTGGGGCCTAAATTGGCACATGACCTTTAGCCTTTCTGGGCTTCCAGCTTCCTGTAGGGGACCCCTATGCATGGAGAGGAACAACCCCCTATCCGGCTACCTGACAGGTGTGCTGGGTGACTGTGCCCCCAGGGGTTAGGGAAGGTGGCATTAATGACTGAGGGGAAAGACTCTGCTTAGAGGTCCCCTTTAGGCCTGAAATGAGAAGCAGGAGGTAGCAGAGAGTCCTGTCGCCCAGGAGGCCCTCCCGGTCTGTCCTGGAGCTCCAGGGAGGGGATCTGCGCCTTGCCTGGCCCCCCTGCTTTGAGCCACACACCCTCCCTCTCTGAAGCCAAACACCGGACCCCCCTGAATGGCCACTCTCCCAGGAGCCAGTCCTGCTCACCCACGTTCTATGTGGATCTGGGGGGAGCCCCCTGGTGCCCTTTATTCCCGGGACTCTGCCCTGCGTGGAGGATGCTAAAGGAGAATTCCTCTCCTGCGTCTTGGAGGTTCAGCCCCTGTGGACGGGCGTGCTTCCTCATCCCCATTAGCCTCCTCTCGGGCCCATCAGTCGCCCCGGGAGCCAGGAGACACCAGGGCCTGGGCTCACTCTTGCTTCCTTCTCTCTCTCTCTGTCTCACACACACACTGTAAGAATTATAAAACACACCGGACTCACTGCCATTGAGTCGATGCTGACTTACAGCCACCCTGTAGGACAGGTTAGACCTGCCCCTGTGAGTGTCTGAGACTCTGACTCTCTACGGGAGTAGACAGCCTTTCTCCTGAGGAGCAGCTGGTGGAATCGAACTGCTGACCTTATGGGTCGCAGCCCAGCACGTAGTCACTCTGCCACCAGGGCTCTTTGAGAGCCAATACGGAAAGGTATAAGGGGGAAAAAATGCTCCCATCGTCCCACAGCTCTGAGAAGTGCTGTTAAACCTGCTAGTGTTCTCTTCCCCACCGGTGTGAAGGTATGCGGGAGAATCCCTGTGCGGGCAGGGCTGACAGACGCCCGGCCCTCCCCTTTGCTGCTGGCTGCCGTTGAGCCAGTCTGGCTCAGGGTGATTGCACCGCTCCATAGCCTGCTGTTTTCATCGAACATTCGATTACTGGGCATTTTCCAAGTCATTAAATATTATTGTATAACACCATCTTTCAGCTGCTGCATGGTTTTCTGTTACAGAGGAGTGCCAGGATTTAATTCTTTATGCGCTAATGGACATCCGTGATTTTTTTTTTAACGAAATAAACCCCTGGAAGTGAAATGGGCTTGCAGCCTTAAAGGTTTTTTATGTGGTTGGCGGCTTGCTTTGTTTTTCTCTCTGTTGCCTAGATGCCCTCTAGTAAGATTCTCTCCGTTTCCATTTTCATAACCACTGTTATGAAAAGTTAATTAAGCAAATACTTACCATAAAGGGGATAGGGGTGGGGACTGCAGACTTTCTGGAACCACCGAGGCTGGATGAACCCTGGGGTCAACTTTAAACCTTAAACCAGGAGCATCCTGAAGATGTCTTAAATCAAACGAGAGTTGAGCTTCATTAACTAGTCAGAAGAGGAGGCCCGGTGGTGTAGTGGCTTGGAAACCCACAGAGGGGCTCCCTCCGAGTCAGCATCCGCTCGATGGCAGTGACTTGGCTTTGGTTTTGGAGCAAAACGTGTGTCTCCTGAGCAGTGTGCTGTTCTAAGCCTATCCCAAGGGGATCAAGGTCCTAACAGCAAGGGGAAAGATTAGACAGGAACCTTAGGGGGCAGTGGGCGGATGTTAATGAGGGAGGAACAACCCCTTGGAGAAGGAGCCTGAGGAGGGTCCCTGATGTCCCTGATTGTCACCTGAGGCTACAGGTAGGAACCCGTGAATTGGTAGGTCCTCAACCACAACAAGATAAAACTAAAACAAGGAAGGCCCGCAGACAAAACGTTGTCCCCACCTGTCAGGTGGCAGAGTGGATTGCACCTTGAGCTGCCCGCTGCAAGGTTAAGTCTGAGACCACACCAATCAGTGAGGCCGGCATTGGTTTACCACCCTTCCCAGGGCATTGTCTGTGGCCCCTGGTAAACGGAGTCCGTAGGGAAGGCGTGTTTGCCTGGAAAGGCCGGGTTTCCTGCGTGCCAGGACCTCTTGGGCCACCACACTTGGCACAGATCTGGTCACCAGTTTGCCGCTTGCCATCAAGGGTGTGTTTGATGCTCTGGGGTCCAGAGGCCCCTTGACTCTGGCCCTTCCGGGGCTCGTGCCCTCAGGAGTGCAGCAGAGCTAGGCTTTGGCATTCGCCTCTGTAAAATAGGCCCTGTGCTTCAGCCGCCGGGGAAGCTCCTTCCACCGGAGAGACTGGGCTGGCTCTGCCGCTCAGTGGCAGACGAGCCAAGCTTCCCTCTCATCTCACCTTCTGTGGCAACCATGAGCCCGTGAGGCCCGTGAGCGCGTGCCCCAGCAGTGGTAGTGGGGGCTTTGTGTGAGTGACAGCTGCCTCACGGCTGGCGGGGGCCAGGCAGTGGGCTTCAAGTCCGCATCCAGCTGAGCCAGGGTGTTGGAGGCAGATGAGTCGTTCGGGCATGCCAGGGATGGGGACAGTAAGAACAGAGGCCAGAGGTGGGAAACCAGGGACAGGCATGAGCAGCGTGGATGGGTGAGCAGGCCTGCATGCAGAGGAGAGCAGCTGGGGACCAGGTCAGGGCTGCTGCTCAGGAAGGCCTCTGGGCCCTGCGAAGGGCTGTGTGTGTGTATGGGTGTGCGTGCTTGCGCACACGCAGGTCTGGGTACCTTTCTGATTGCTGACCCTCATGTGAGCAGGAGTGGGAATGCCCAGCTCCGGTGGCCCTGGCCCTTGGGTAGCCTTCCCCCCGCACCCCAAGGCCTCACTCTATCCCGGACCCCAGCTTCAGGCGCAGACTTCTGCCTCCATGGCTGCCCGGGGTCCAGGCACCTACGCCCCGTCCTAGCCTCTCAGGGGACAGTCTCCCAGATCTTCCCCCCAGCCCCCACCCCCTTCCAATCTGATGGCTTCCCCACTGAGACGTGCCTGCTGATACCATCAGCGGTCCTGTGCCCACCCCCTCGGTGAAGGACATGCCCCCACTAGATGGAGAACACCGACACTGGGCAGGGGGCACTGCCCTGTGCTCCCAGCTCATGTTGGGGTTGAGGCCCTGGGGTGCAAAGACACCCCCGCAGGATGGTACAGTCTGTGGTCACTATGCGCCCATTATTGCTGGGGCCCTGCCCCACGGAGGCTCCTGGGGACGCCCTCTGTGGAAGCCACCTCCAGACCCTGTGGGGGAGGACCGCGGCCCAGGAACTTTCAGTGGGTGCACACGGCCCGACACGTGTGTCCTCTCGCTGCAGCGGGAAGATGCCCGAGGTGGACTACGTGGTCTTGTCGGAATGGTTCGACTGGATCGTGAGGAACCTGGACGTATCTGTGGACTTGATAGGTAGGACGGCTGCGCCAACTGACCACCCTCCTGGGCTTTCCGGGGGGGCCTGCAGGGCTGGATCCCAAACCGGCAGAGGCAGCCGGCGGGGCAATTGCCATCAGCAATGGTGTTCCCTGGTGAAGCCAGCCTGCTCCCCAGGGGCAGACAAGGGCTTGGGAACTGAACCAGGCAGTTCCTGGGGCCCACTGAGCACCGGCCGGCCACGGGAGCCAAGACCTGGCTGATATCTCTGCCAGCCTCACAGGGAGCCAGCCCGGAGGCACTTCCTAGCCATGGTCTGGGGACCGCAGCCAGGGATGAGGGTCAGTAGGCCAGCCCTCCCCATGGTCTGGGGCAGATGTCTCTCCACCCTGTACCCCGCGCCCCTCCCTCTCCCAGCCCGGAGCAGGGCCATTGTGAAAGCCATGCGTTTCTCCTTAACTGCAGTCTACCTCCGGACCACGCCCGAGATGTGCCACAGGAGGCTGCAGATGAGGTGCCGGGACGAGGAGAAGGTCATCCCGCTGGTGAGCGCTCGGCGTCAGCAGCCTGGTCTCTCCATCCCACCCACCCTGAGCTCCTCCGTCCGTCCGTCTGACTGCAGCGAGAGAAACCTGAACTGAGCCCAGAGTGGCCCGCTGGCACCCAGATGGGTGTCCCTTTCAGTGGCCCCTGCCCAGCGTGGCCAGGGCTTGCCCTTTCTTCCCCCTGAAGGGCCCTAGAGCTCGGCCTCTCTGCCAGCTCCTTACTGCAGGGTGCGCTCTAGGGGACAGGACTGTGCCCCGTTCCCCACTGCCGCATCCCTGGTGGCGCTGTGGGTGAGGCATTGAGCTGCCAGCCACGTGGCGGCAGCAGTGGAGGTGGTGGTGATGGTGGTGGTGGTGATGGTGGTGGCTGTCAACTCCCCAGGTGCTCTACAGGAGAAAACTGAAGCTGTTCCTTCCCTGAAGGTCTATGGGCTCCGAACGCCTCCATAAGGTCACTGGGCATGGGAGGGAGGCCGTGGACTTTGCTGCGGCCGCCTAGTCAGCCAGTGCCTGGTTCTGCGCCCAGTGGAGGGATGCCTGGCCCTCCCCTCTGGGCTCTGGCTCAGGGCACATTGACTGTAGTTGGGACAGTGGTAACTGGCCCTCGTCTGCTGTCCTTGCCCTAGGTCCTCCTCCCTCCCAGCTTCCGTATGGGCCACGACCCACAGGGCCTCTCAGCCTAAGAGCCTGCAGTTCCCAGACAAAAGGAGAGAGCCCCACTTCACACACCGGCTCAGTCCTCATACTGGCCTTATATCCCTCCACTACACACACACACACATACACACACCAATCACACACACGGACACCACACACACACCATGCCATACATATCTCACACACATCCCCTCCACACAAAACACACCCAAAATATTAATCACATACTCCACCTCCCCCCCAACACACGTGCAATGAAGATGACACAAATGAGCCTTGGCATATGTGATAGCCTGGGCCTCTAAGGCGCGGCTTGGACATCACCTCCTCCGGGAAGCCTTCCCTGATCCCCCTTCACTCTGCTCCTGTTCCCACAGCCCCTAGGTCCAAAAATCCACACCAGACCCACTGCCCTCATGTCGAGGGCAGAGTCCAGCTGCTCTGCAGGGCTTCCTAGCGGCCGTCTCTACGGAGGAGCCTGGTGGTGTCGTGGTTAGGAATTGGGCTGCTGACCGGAGGTCAGCAGTTTGAAACCCATTGCTCCTCAGGAGAAAGACGGGCTGTCTGCGTCCGTAAGGAGATACAGTCTTGGAAACTCAGAGGGGCAGTTCTGCCCTATCCTACAGGGCCGCTCTGGGTCGGCATAGCCTCCAGGGACTGTGCAAACAGCGAGTCTCCTCCTTCTCCCCGGTGGGCTTGAAACAGCACCCTTGTGCTTACCTGCTGTGCCACCACAGCTCTGAGCCCCTGGGACAGCAGGCTGGAATGAGATTTGTTTTTAAAACATTTGTTTCGCGTTTACCACTCAACTGTGTGCATCTTAAGATTCAATTTGATTCCTCCCCTTGTGTCTTCGGTCCTGGCACCTGGTCACTACAGAGCGGAATGAGCACCCTGCACGTGGCGGGGTGGTGGTGGGGTGTGTGCACAGACAGAGGCTGGACAAGTCCCTAGGGTGACATCACGGGATTTCCCCCCTCCCGAGATGGGCTGGCCTCGGGGCAGGAGGCCCTTCCAGCCCTGGTTTGAGCTTGGCACTGCCACTCTGCATTACAGCCACAGAGGCCAGGCCCCGTTCTGGGCAGCTCCTTTGGGTCCTGGAGGGAGGCAGGGTGGCAGGGCTGGCCCCAGCTATGACCCCGATGATCCTAAGCAGTGGCGTGGTGCCTACCTCTAGGTCCTTACGCAGGAGTTCTTGTTCACAGGGTCCCGCCCTGAGGTAGAAGCAGGTGGCAGATGGAAGGGCTGGCGGGGCAGTTTCTGGCTGCGAGTTGGTGGCAGGCGCCCCTGGACCTGTCCCTGCCGCAAGCATAGCTGATGGGTGTGTCTGTGCCCCCCTCCCTGGGTGCCCCTCACCAAGCTTTCTGAGGCTGGTGGTCCTGGGCATCCAGAGGCTACGTGCTGCTTGGCGGTGGTGGTAGTGGTGGTGGCGGTGGTAGTGGTGGTGTGTATGTGTGTGTACGCGCATGCAAGGCAGAGTGGGGCTCTGGGCCAGTGAGTGTGACAAGTCCCCTTGGTTGGGAGGGTTCAGAGGCCTCCCAAGGCGGGGACAACCTGTGCTCCCGAGGGGCAGAAGCGGTGGCTGCTGCTGAGCGGTGGCAGTGAAGGGGAGAAGCCAGATGAGAGGCCTGCCCCTGACTGGGGGCATGCCAGCCGGCAGGTGGCAGAGATGGTCTGTGGCCTGAGGTGGGGCGCACCCTCGTGACTGCTGCCCGTCTGAGCCAGGAGGCGGTGGGTGGCAGGGCTCTGTTGTCTGCTCAGGGATGCCCCCAGCTGCCCCTCCGCCGACAGCCTGCCCCGTGGTCTCTCCCCAGGACTACCTGGCCACCATCCACCAGCTCCATGAGGAGTGGCTTGGAGGAGGAGGTCCCTTCCCCGTGGAGGCCCCCGTTCTGGTAAGTCAGGCCCCGACCCAGGGCGGGATCTTTTCAGGAGGTGAGCCCTTGGGAACTCCAGCCACTGTGCTGCTCGTGCCCCTCAAAGCTGGGGGACCGGGGGCGGGGCAGGACGGCCTCCGTGGTCTCCAGCTCTGGACGGAGGCCCCAGGACTGCAGGCAGCACAGGCCAAGAGAATGACGGATCCCAGTGTTAGTGTCACCCCTGGCCACCTTGGGAACATCTCATTCACCCGGGATGGAAGCATCTAGATGGGGCTCGGGCTTTAGCCATCTGGGATGGTGGTCTGCTCCAGGGGCCTCTCCCCTCCACCCCCCTGCAATGGTGGCAGGGCCTCGGGTCACCGATGCTCGGGATGGGCGTGGCTCTTGCCTCCTTTTTCATCCGCCTCCCTCCTCTCCCCATCTGGGATGAGGGGCCCGTTCCAGGTCAGGTGTCCCTGTGTGTTTAACTCCCAGGTGATCGAGGCCGACCAAGACAGGCAGAAAATGCAAGAACTCTTTGAGCAGAACCGAGACCGGATCTTGACTCCACAGACCCGGAAGCAGGATCCTAGGATGGGAAAGGCCGGGGAAACGTCCGTCCACAGCGGCACCAGGGCGCCGTGAGCAGTTGGGGTCAAGCTGCTCTGGGCGCGCCTTTGCCCTGCTGCCAGCATCTTCCTCTCAGGTCCACGGCAAATGGGACCCGGAGGTGGCTGTGCCCTTGGGTGCCCACAGCCACACGTTCACCCGGCGCCTTGTTGCTGAGCTGTAGAAGAGCCACTTGCTCCAGAGATCCGGGGCTTGGGGCAGTCATCTGACCACATTCCAGGAGCTCAGGGTGGGCGCGGGCCCTTCCAAGGTCAGACAGCCAGAGTATGCCAACCTGGCCTCCTGCCCGGCTCCTCACCCCCCCCTGGGACCCTCAAATCCGTCCTGAGTGACCCTGCTGGACCCAGAGCTGCGACCATCATTGCTCATCCTCTGGGCACTTGTCCAGACTGCCGGCATTCTGGGACTTTCCGGCCCTGGGCGGCATTGTGTTTCCCGGGATGAGGCTACTGTAGCACCTGTCCCATCCTCTTGGCAACTGAAGAAATCCACGTCTGGGCTCCTGAGCCTGCTCAGTAGTTCCCTGTCAGGGAAATGGTCTGCCCACGGCCATGCTGGGCAGGGGCAGGGGCAGGGGCAGCTCGGCTTGCCCATGGAATCACTGAGCGCTGTGGCCCAGAGGGGCTAGTAAATCCTCAGCCGGAGGTGGGCTCTGGAGCACCCATCTCTGAGGTGCCCCCCACCACTTGTATGATGCACTTTAATCCACCGTGTTT